TCTCTCTCTCTCTCTCTCTCTCTCTCTCTCTCTCTCTCTCTCTCTCTCTCTCTCTCTCTCTCTCTCTTTGTCGCGTATATATATTTATGCTTATATATAATATATATAATACATGTATTTTATATAAAGAGCGCTCTAGTAAGAACGGGCAATGGATCGTCGATCTTCCGAACGTCTCCACCGATCTCGAGTACCTCTTTTCGAGAAATCAGGTATGTATTATTTAAAAAGTCAAAGAAGCGTAATCATTCCTGTTTTCCCGAACATCATGGACACTGTCGATCTTGCTATATTCTATAACTATAACGAGTAAACACTCTTGTGACATCTCCAAGTCGCTCGCCTCTCCAAAAGAAAGCGCGCGTGTGAATAATTTATTATGAAAAATTCACACTATCTCGTCTTCTCAAAGTTAGCGCAGATCGAAGTCGGCTAGCGCGGTTCGGAAACGCGCAGCTGTATCATTGATCCGTTCGATACGTCGCGGGGTGCGTCCAGTAAATTACGTCGGAGCGCGTAATTAAAAAGGTCGACCGCGTAATTGCCAATTGGGTCTTTCCATTCGTAATCTTTTCACTGAATGATAACGATGATTTCTTTAATCTCGCTCGATACCGAATTCTGCCGGAAATGATGCGATCGCGATTTTAAACGAGGATTCGCGTGATAGTTGTTTCCTCTTTTTCTCGCAGGACTAAAAATTGCGTATAATTATTGCACGATGAGAAAAGGGGAGATTCCTTTTCCGCGACAAATCGCGATGGTTTCGTCTCAGTTCGTCGCCTCTCGCTGTCCGTCGTGCGGCTAGTTTCAGTGCTAGATCTACGAGCGTAGAATTCTTTTCGCTAGAGCTTCGACTACTTACATCACAGCGAGCTACTAACGCTGAACAGCCGCGAGTAGTTGGCACGACTTTCGCGAGCGTGTGTTCGCCTTTCGCCGAACACATTTCGGTCCATCGCGCTTAATTGCATCCCCTCGGGCGATATCGTGCGCGCGCGATTTACGACGGCGATCTCGCGAAAGCTCCACAACCGGGAAAACTCGTCGGCCGCGCTAGGCGACTAATAGCGGAAGACTTCGGCATGCTATAGTACAGTAGATCTTACGATAAATTACAACCGACGGGTGCGCCATCGCCGTCGATATACTCTCTTTCTTTCCTTCTCTCTCTCTCTCTCTCTCTCTCTCTCTCTCTCTCTCTCTCTCTCTC